TCTGTGAAGAGAAAATGACCATTCTCTGAGGTTAAGCCAGTTGGGTAATACAACTTCTGCCTCCAAAGCTCACCTTTTTCCCATTATCCCTCTCTGAAGTGTGTGATCATAGACATAACATTTAACTTCTTTAAAACCAATAAACATGTAACTTCTTCGCAACTGTTCTGCATGGTGGGTGCTTTAGAGGAAACAGGAGCAAAGTCATGAAGAGCCTTGTAAAATACGGTCCCAGTTATCCAGTGCAGGGTTGTCATGAGGATTAATGAGTTTGAACAGGTCAAGCCCTTAGAACACAGCCAGGCTCACAGCAAGGTGCATGTCTTAGGTTTCCTAATAACCCCCCCCCCGCTAATCGCAACTTAGAACCTAAAGCAGGGAAATTTATAAGCAGAACAGCCGTAAGTTGGTCAGCTGAATAGCTGCTTGGGAGGGAAGATTAGAAAAAAGAACATTAGGAAAAAGATCCACATGTCACCCCTATATTAGCCTTTGTATCTTAGCAAATTGCACCATTTCGTGTGCATGTGTGCATACACACACATACACAGCTCCCTCTACACAGAGCAGCCCTCTCCTACTGGCTCCTTTTCAAAGCATACTTCCACTGAGCATCCCATTGGCTCTGCCCAGCGGTAGCAACATTAGGGCATCTCCCTGCATTAATGTAACCTTTTGACCCACTTTAGGGGGCGCACTCACTTAGCATCCCTCACTGGTTCATGTCTTCATTACTCTAGTTACTCAGTTACAAGCCAAGTGTTTTGACGGTGTATTTAACACTCTTCTGTACTGACCTCTTTAAAGAAAAAAAATTCCTTTACACTCTGAAAATGTGGTCAGAGACCTGTAAACCCTAATTTGAAAAGTGCTGGATAAAATATTAAAATGAAATACTAATTTCAAGTTTTCAAACTAGCAGACCCTAGAAAATACACCCAAGTTCTTCTTAATTACATATTAGTAGGTTGTTTGTCCTAAAATTAACTCTTTTGGCCTTTCTTCTTTACCTTGGTCACACTGACATTATGGAAACTTAAAAATAACTTGGTACTTACTAAAATGTAACTTTACATCTTGCCCTCAGGATGAACCTTAACACTTGTCAGGCTATGTTCTTTTCCTCATTATACTGTATCACCCCCTAGCGTTATATATGATACTTGCAGCCAATACATGCTGACCAATTTCTCTGCTTTGTTGAAGTGGTTAAGTACTTTCCTGATTTACAGATTAGGTTCCCAAAGAATATATGTAAATCCACTGGGTTCCAAGGCCAAAGTGCACTATATAAACCTTTAAAAATATCTAGAGAACTAGTGACTATATTGTGACATCCTATGAAGGCTGTTTTCCAAAGTCAGAACATAAAATCAATAGTGAACATAGTGATTGATATACACAATGATTATTGTTTTTCCATTAACATTTTTAGGGATACATCATGTTTAATGTCAATCCAGGAAACAAAACAGTACGGCAGGCTTCAGTAACGGAGAACAAACCACAAAGAAAGTGGCTCTAGTTCAGCTTGAAAGGTTGTTTTAAAAATGTTTTTATTGATTTCAGAGGAGGGAGAGCTAGAAACATCAATGATGAGAGAACCATCCATCAGCTGCCTCCTGCAGGCCCCCTACCGGGATCAAGCACGAAACCCAGGCATGTGCCCTGACCCAGAATGGAACCGTGACCTCCTGGTTCATGGGTCAACCACTGAGCACACCATCCAGCGAAAGACTAATTTTAAAAAATTACTAGCATTACTATTATATTTTAAGCTGCTAAAACATTTCTTGGTATTTTAAGTTTCTGCTCCACAAAAATATCTATTATTTAAAAGTTAACGAATTCATATGCTTTCCAGCTCATCATTCCAGCTGCTGGGTCTTCTTGGACATCCACACTGACTGTACAATTTATCAGTTTTCCTTAGTTTTCTCTAATCAGTGTTTCTATAAGTTCTTCAATTAATTTTTCAATTTGCTCCTCATGAACATCTTCAGAGCCATCACTTAAATCTTTATATTGTGTCTGCAACCCAATTTGACTATCTTTACATTTTAATTGAAGCCTGTTATTACTGATACGTGTGTATACATGCATATGCCTAATCTACCATGTTACATGCACTATTTGTCCTACTAGTTCTTTTCCCCATTCCTTCTGATTTTCAATTTTATTTCCATTCTATTAATTTGTTAATACCTCATTTTCTAATCTTTTAATGACTACTGGAGATTACAACATACACTTGATTAGTAATTTTACCTCTTCCTGAATATTCAAGAATCTTAGAACACTTTAACACTATTTACCCTTTATATACAAACAGGGGTGGGCAAAAGTAGGTTTATAGATGTGAATACACAAGTTTCTTGTATTGTGTATTTGTATTACAACTGTAAACCTACTTTTGTCCACCTCTGTATATGCTGTTGTGACCCATTTTAATATTACCCCCAAATTTATTGCTATTATTTATAGTCTATATTAATTTGTATGTATCTATGTATTTCCCCTTCCTGCATCTTCATGTCTCCTCCTTAGGTTACTTTCTTTCCAATGGATGGGTCTGTGGTGATAAATGCTGGTTGCCTGATAGTCTTTATTTCCCCTTCATATTTGAATATGGTTGCTGAACATAGAATTTGAAGAACTTTGAAGCTATGTCCACTGTTTTATAGAATCTACTGTTAACAAGTCAACCGTCTTAGTGCTGTTCCTTTTCTACTGGCTGCTTTTCACACTCGTCTTTGGTATTCATACTATAACATCCTTAGGTGTGATTTTCTTTTTATTGAGCCTAAGGCTTACAGGGATTCTCAAATCTGTGGCTTGGTAGTTTTTATTGGTTTTTAAAACTTCGGAGCCATTATCATCCCTCTGAGATTCCAATTACACATCAGAACTCTTCATTTTATCTTGTCTCTTACAATTACTCATTCCTTTCCACTATTTATTGTGCTTCTGGATTTTTTAAACTTACCTTTCTAGTCACGGATTCTCTTAATCTGCATCTAAGCAGGAAGCAGGGCAACTTCGTGTAATATTAGAGAAGGAAATTCATTATCTCTTAGGGTACTTCCAGTAAGACTCAACTAGGCGCCTGTGTGTGTGACTACCCAATTTATAAATTCCTAGAAGAAATAATATTTGACCAGTTGTGTCAAGTGACCACCCTTTTGTAGTCAAGGGAAAGCATCTTGTTATTAGTAACCACACTATAACTGAATAGAATGAAGGAGATAAGTTGATCAAGGGAAGAGATTTTGGGAGAGAAATATCTTATTACAGAACATAAGGAAGAAATAATTGATGACATAGGATAGGAAAAAACATGCAGATTTCCGCTCTAGAATGTCTAAACAGGTTACTGTGAAACATCTGGTTTGTTCAGGGTCCTGGCAGAAAACAGATGGGACACTCAAATGCAGAAATTACAGAAAGTTGAATTAAGGGACTAGGGTTAACAGTGCAGTCAGGGTTAAGGGAAATCAACAATGGATGAAGGCCGCCAGGACTAGTAACAGAAGGAAGCCATTACTACCATAGGCGTGCTGGATTAAGGAGAGGAAGTCCACCAGGACTAGGAACAGCAGGAAGCAATTACTACCCTAGCCCTACAGGAGTAAAGAGAGAAGTCTACTAGGACTAGTAACAGCAGGAAACCATTACTACCCTAGGCCTACAGCAGTAAAGGGAGGGAAGAGCTACAAAATCTCATACAGGAAAGAGCTGCCTAATGGAGCTGTAGTCTTCAATAGAACATCTATCTGAACCAACGCTGGGAGAAGCAGGGGAAATAAATATCACAACTCCACTTTCTTCTCATCTGCCAAGTCTTCTGCTGGTGCCTTCCAATTAATGAGCCCAACCAGAAGCCAGAGAACAAGGGAACCCATTGCTACAGCCCATACAGGGCAGGGAATCTCCTGGAGCAGACAGCTGGGTGGTAAAGGTGCTGTCTGGGACTCACTTTCCTGCTTGTTGGTTCAGTGGCATAAAAAGCCGAAATGGCCCTGTCCAGGTAGCTTAGTTGACTGGAGCACCACTGCAATGCACCAAGGGTTAAGGTTCAGTCCCCAGCTGGGGCACATGCACTGGTCAACCAATGAATGCACATATGGGTAGAGCAGCAGGCTGATGTTTCTCTCTCAAATCAACTCCCTATGATGATGTGAAATCCTAGCCATTTGAGGATTCCTAAAGATCTGTGTAAAACATTCCTACAATCCTGCCTTGTCAATTCTGGTCCTAATCCTACTAAAACTTACTGATGTTTCACAGTACAAAACTGGCACCATTTTGTTACAAAATTGACACACACAGACATTTACTCATCATTTAAGCCTACAACGTGCAAGGAATTATATAAGGTGCAGGGGATACGACAGGGAACAAAATCGTCAGGGGCAACTATAAACTAAAAAAAACACCCCAAAAAACTAAAGTTACTGCTATTGGTCTAATAAGAGCTTGGCAAAGATAATTTGCACAAGAGCCAGTGCTGAAGTCAAGGGACAAATCTGTGCACAAGTCTTATAGAGCACCTCAGATGGGATGAATACAGGGGGTAAAACAAGGTTAATCATAATCTTAACTACTCACAACTCTTAAAAACCTACAAGCAACTTTATTTTTTATTAGTGTGACGATCTATAGCAAATTGAGTAATTAATTCCTGGGAATCCTTGTGTACAAACTGAAAACTGGAGAATGGAATGATTTGCAACATTTGTTCTGAAATTCTAATTGTTTCACTGTTTTCTGAAGATGCTGATAGAATGGTCAGACAAAACACTAAAAGTTAAGAGGAAGTATATGTCCACCATACCTTTAGAAACATTAAAAAAAAAAAAAAAAAAAAAAAAAAAGAACTGATTAAAAACAAGTTTATACAATCTGAACCAATGTGTCTCAAAGAAATTGAACCGGCAAAAACAGACATAAAAATCCAATGTAAATCAGAACATCTCATTAATAAAATTAGCAAACCAAAATAATGTTGTTATATAAATTAACCCATTTATTATAGGCTAGCAATGTTTCAAAGTGTGCAGCTTCTACTGGTCTTTCAATTCCTTCAGTCTTCTGATGGCAGACTTTACTGTGACAGCAGAAGTGGTGCTGGAAAGAAAAACAAATGTGGTGCCAACATAATTTATATGTCAACATGTGAAATGATTTGAGATCTGCCTCCTTCTGACATTACAATCTTAATGATGATGGCACCCTTTAAGAGTTATGTCTTCAAGCTCTTGCAGAATGAGACAGGCAATCCTCACGCATCTGATTTCTCAGACAACAGAGCACTCAAAAATTAACATGGAAGAATGGTTGCAAGAGACTGACCTAAACTCATTAAAAAGGGAATAAACAAAATCTCAGAAAAAACTAATAAATTTTAAATTGGTACAATAAATAAGAGGTAATAAGAAAACAATGTTTAAGGCAGTAGAGGGGACGGGACTAAAGTACATTTTGGAAAGACAGCTATTAAAATGACTACAAAAAGTTTTACTGCAAGATTCAGGAACTGTACCTGTACCTGAAAAACACATATCCCACTCCATATCGTTTAGTATAGATGAATGGTAATTGATTTTATTATCACAACCAAGAGAACACCCCAATCCCCACTTTCCTTCTGCCCTCATAAAAACCCACAAGGCGCTTACATATATCCATTATAATTAATTCAATATTTTCCAATTTTACAGAGCTTCAGTTTTAAACTTAAAAATTCAATTCTTCAACCACACTAGCCAAATCATTTTATATGGAGGTGGCTAGTGCATTGGACAGCACAAGTCAAAACAGTGGCTAGAGGAAGAATACCTCAGCGTTCAGGGTCAGCAATGAATTCCAAGATTAGACCCCTTCAGAGTAACCAAGGAATTCCAACTTCCAGAAATGAACAAACTTAAGAGGCCACTCAATAATCAGCATAGAGAGTTAAACTCAGCATAGAGAGCTAATATCACTTGGCAGTTGTCATGATCACAAGCAATACTGTTCAGAGTAGCAAAGGTGTGGTGGTCCAGATGGCCTCAAGTTCCCACACACAGTAATAAGCTAAGTGAGCCCTTAATTTTTATAAAAACAGCTTGCAATGCAAGTCAAAGTTCAGTATACATTCAGTCCCACTAATGGACCTATACAATATCATGACAATGCTCGCAATGATGTCCCTAAAGACTTTAAAATTCTAAAGTAATATGAATCAGACTTAATTTTATTTCAGTAGTTTTCTTTCTACTCCTTAAATAACTCATAACAAACCATAACTCAGAGTCCAGAAAAACAACAACAAAAGCATCCTTACTTTCTGTCTAGTAGAGTTAAAACCAGCCCAGTGTTAAACCTGGACTATGACTGGTCCATACTTTCAAATACCACAAAGACATGGACTCACTTGTAGGTCCAGGCACCACCAGCTACTGTCTTCATGCAGGAACCACAGTGCCAGATCCCCACAGCTCGTCTCTTCATCTTGGTCTGTAAAAGACAACCAATCTTCCCTATGAACCAAACAAAACTTTTATCTTACAAATTCCCAGGAGTCTAACTTACACTACAAAATAAAAGTTGGAGCATTTAGTGAGGTTATGGGTGTTTCTAATACCTCTGAGTTCTCTAATGCAAAATTTGCATTCATCAAGGTGATACTGCCAGAGAGATGAAAGACTGCCCCCGACATCAAATACAAGGATTTCCGTAATCAAGTACTTTTGCGCACAGGAGACATACAAATATTAATTGGAAATCTCTGACAACTCCAGCTGACAAAACCAACAGAATCATTTCCACAAAGCAGGTTTGGCGTAGGCTGGGCCTCTCATCATTCTTCACCCTTTAGTTCCTCAGTGCTTTTAAGTGAAAAACGTCTTTACAAAACCTAAAGTTAGCAGCAATGCTGTCATGCACAGTGTGCACAACTCTTAACTGGTCAACAACCAAGAACCCGCACTGTTAATGAACTTAAAGAGGCCTCACTAGAAAGGAAACCTTCCCCCCACTTTCCCCGGCAGAGACCATCTTACTTTGCCACAGAAGGAGCAAGTGTACTTGGCATGCTGGCTGATTTCAATTTTCTTCACCATTTTCCGGAGGGAAGCACCATAACGTGTCCCGTATTTACCGACGATTCCCACCTTCTTGGTGCGTTTTGCCTGTTGAGAGTTAAGAAAAGGGCCAGCGATATTAAGACGAAGGAGCGAAGAGCCTGCCCTCCGTCCCCAAGGTCCCAGGACCTCCGTAACCACTCCTCCACCCACCCAGCCCCGCCTATGACCTAGCTCCCCCTACTCCATGCCGGTGCAACCAGGACCCCGGGCGGGCCCCGGGCGAGCCCGCTGCACCGAGGGCTCCCTCTTAACCGGGACCGGAGAAGCCGCCGCGCCCCTCCGCTGCAGTCTCCGTCCAAGAAGAACGGCGAGGGCACAGAGGCCGAGGACATAGGGCAGGGCAAGCGAGCAGAGGTCGATTTGGGCGAGAAAACCAAAGAAAGGACAGATGCGGATGGATAAACATACAGGCCTCACCAGGAAGAACACTCACCATCTTGCCGCAAGCCGGTCGGACCCCAAGAGGAAGCAGCGCAGTACGCAGGCGCAGTTTTAGGCCGACGAACGGAAGTGGTAAGTGTGGAGCCTAGCTAGGATCGGAGCTCTATGGTCCGGAGGTTTCCTCGAACGCGCGGCCTTCTGGGGAGTGTGGCAAGAAGTTTCTCAACGAGGTTTACGGTAATTCACAAATTGTAGCAACGAACTCTAGTGGAAGAGCCTTCACACATCCACATTATCTTACATCTGACAAATCCTGCAATGCAGGTACCATTTCCTACATTTTATGGCCAAGGAAAGTCTTAAGGGACTTACTGGCTGCTGGCTTAGAGGAGTGCTTGCATCTTAGGACCCAAATCACACTTTCCCTGCATCGCAGCTTCTAAAAGCGGCAGGCCCTGTGCAGGAGGCTGGCGCAGTGCTGACTAAAATCCGAGGCTCCACTCCAGTGTACCATACTAATGTAAGGTGTCAACAACGGGAAATGTAAGATGTTAATAACATCTTTAAGAACTGTGGAGTAGCTCAACTTTTCTATAAATCTAAAACTCTTCTAAAACATAAAGTCTGTTTTAAAAAACAACCACCCAAGGTCACCGCAAGTCAGTTCCACAAAGGCGGGGACCATGTGTGCATTTCTGCATTCCAGGACTGAGCAGGGAGCCCGGCATGTCTGTGGTAGTGGACACCCACCCGTTGAACAGGGAAATGGTAGCTGCATGGTGTGATGACAAGAAGGGTTTGTAAAGGGCTTAATTTGTCTGAGTCAATCCAGTTATGTCAGCACTAAAAGGATTTAGAGATAATTAACCCATACCGGGAACAGAGGCCCATGGAGGTCAAATGACTTGCTCAAGGTCATACCGCTAATAAATGACTTACAGACCAGTCCTCTTTCTACTATATCACCATTCAAGCTGTTTCCTCAGCTACAAAGTGAGTACTCCATACCCCTTGTAAGGTTCTTGGGAGAATGAAATAACTTTTATTAAGTGCCTAGTGGGCATTTCTAAGTGATTATTTTTAAGATGATGATTAAGACCTGATTTCAAAGTCTCCTGATGCCTTTTCAATGCTATTTCCTCTTCTGCCATACTCAAGGGACTGCAACTGATCTGCTTTCTACTTTCCCTTAAAAATATGCCCATCCCTTTTCTCCTTAATTTCTTCACCTTTAACAAAATGAACCTATTACAGTCACAGCTACTGCGGCCTGATGTCTCCCAGGGGAGCAGGGTGTGCTCAAGGTTTCTCAGTTCCATCACAGGCTTCATGTACCCTTTTCCTGTTCAAGGTGAATAGCAAGCGGCCCAAGGAGCAAGTCCCTCCCTCCCTAGTAGAGAAACACACAGCATTTGGGGGATGATTTCTGGAAACCTCTCTACCAAAACTATGCCCTGCCCCCAGAAAACTATAAAACAAAAATGTATTCACATTGGTGCAAAAACGGACTAGTAGAAGGAGTGTTAAAAAAGCTATCTAACGTTCAGTCTCTGCCTCCAGGCCAAGCAGTGAAGCTCACTTGCCCTGGGCGAGCAGCATGACCAGCCCCACGCGCTCTCCTGGGCTGGCTCCAGAGTCTAGCTCAGTTCATCGTTCAGAACATTTACCATCTCCTCACCACCGTCTCCTGCATGAGTAAGAATGCAACAGAATGGCTGAAAATGACACACTTCGTAACTGGAGGAAACTGCTCATGTTCAGAGCAATTTTGTCAAAGCTGAATAATTCTTTTTAAATAGCAAGCCTGAGGATGTACAAATAGCACTCTCATGAAATCAGCTCTCAGTGGCTTCAAAGAATTGTGCCTCTCATAAAATCTCAATTTGTCTTATCTGTGGGCTAATAAATCTCCATCCCCATCAGAGGACCATCAGGTGTACAGATTGTTAACTGTAATATGTATCCATAAACGTCTCAATAAAAATCTCTGGTGAGTCACCCTCCTCCTCAGCAGCACTCAAAATTCATTTTCGCTTTTAGAAAAATAAAAGTCGCTTCCAGAGAAGTTCTTTTAGCTGTCGAGTCAACCAGTTCTCCTGGGGGAATATGGAACATCTTATCCTTCAGAGAAATCTGAGGGGCAAGCATCATCCCAAACTCATCTCATGCTGGAGACAGAAAGGGTTTATTCTGGAGACCCAGGCTGCAGGTTGTTCCTTCACTTCCTGCCTAGAGAACTCTTGCCGGTACTTCACCCCTCCACTGGTGGCCATAGCCAAGAGCAAAGTCTGTATAGAATTGTTAAGAACCTTGTGGCCCAAGCTATGCAGGAAAGGGCTGACTCAGCAAGAGGGAGCAAAGCTTGCCAGGGCCGAGTCCTGGATACCCAGGAAGAATCCGGTGTCTGAAATGCATTCAGCACATAGATTCTTTCCTTCCTTCTCTCCACAGATTTACTTAAATGCATTCTAGTTGTTGTTGTTTTAATGGAGGTTTCACAGAGCACTGACACAGACAACACAGCCATCAGGAATGGAGTTATTCTGCAACCCTTAAAAGAGATAAGATAGGTCAATATGAAAAAATGGCCAGATACATTATGTGAAATAAGCCATTTTCAATGTTTAATATGGTTTTTGTCAAAACAAATTCTACATACAGACGCCCTCAATGTCGTCAGTAGGTTCTGTGACCGTAAGTGAATGAAATGACATATAAAGAAACCAATTTTATCATAGGCTAATTGACATAAACAAGAGTTACTTCCTACGGTATCTCATCAATGTTATAATGGAAGGATGAAGAACAAAACAGTGTTATCTGAGGACCTGTTGTATATTTCTGTATAATTATATGCATTGGGAATATACTACCAATGGCTCCATCCCAGATTGTTTAGTTATTACCTCTAGGAAGTAGGACTAAGAATAGAAGGAATGAGAATGTAGAACTTTGTCATTTTTTACTGATACATTTCTAGATAAATTTTCACATCAAATTTGTAACAGTGAAAAGGAAGCCACTGCAGAGCAGTATATAAAGGGAAAGTCTTTTCAATAAGTGGTGATAACTGCATATTCATATGGAAAGAAATTAACCTTGACCTTACCTCGCCCCATGTACAAAAATAAACTCCAGGTGGATTGTAGATCTAAACATTAAAAGCCAAACAATAAAGCTTCTAGAAGGTATTATATTCATAACCTTGGGGTCATGATTGCACAGGTGTTTATCCTATATTTTGTTAAACTGTAAATTTGTTTTGTAAACTCCTTAGTGTACTGTATTTTATCCCCCAAAAGGGAGATTAGACACAGAAGAGTACCTGTACTCAAAATCTGTTTAATGGGTTGGC